GATAATATTAAAGGAGGGTAGTGCTCAGCAGCCTTCAGATGTATGGTTATACTTATGATAAGAGATTTCAACTGAAAATTGTACCGGACCCTTCGTCCACACGCGACGGTTTATTATTTTCGCATTTTAAACAGTACCACAGGAAAGTACCGCTCAATAGCCCATTTGAATGCTCGTACCTTAAGATTTATTTAAGATTTAACATGTATTTTAAATGCAGAGGAATGATGTGATATTTTGTACACATTTATTCAAACGTGAATTTTTACGCGGATTTTTGCAATTGTATTCATATCTTTGCGATTTCTGATATACAATTTGCTCGTAATTTTTTTCTAAGCTGGTTAAAGCTCTGCTTAGGTTTCGTGCATGTGTTATATTAGGGGTACTTACCATTTTCATGGGAAAACCGGAAAATTCTGGTGGGAAAATCAAATAGTTCACACCATTCCGTTTGGGAAGCTTTAGACTGCAAAACAGTCGTTTTTTTTCTCTCAAAATTAGTAAAGAAATCGGTAAAGCGCGGCGTAAGACTCTTTAGAGAAAAAAGCGTCCCTCCCAAGTCTCGCTCTCTATTTTCAGCCTAGTTCCAGACCTTTTGTTTGACTGCTCGAGCACACTTGAATGCGCAAAAATACCGACTGTTTTGCAGTCTAGGGAAGCTTCAGAAAATATGGTCTGTGATTTTAGACGATGCAATTTTTCCACTCTTTTAAGACCGTTCAGCTGATTTAGATAAATTTTGTAGCGGGTCGTTCTCGCACCACCTCAAATTGTAAAGTTTTATGTTTATGCACAAGATTTCTACCCGGGCGGTTTCTGTAAATGGTAAGCACCCTAGGTATTAGCGAGTTTAAGCAGCAACGTTTTTGACGTCACACGTCAACCGGAAAGGAGCCTTTTTTTCTTTTAATACACGTTGACGGTACCAAATTTTTATTACTAAAGGACTGTTTGATCAAAACTTTGTTCAAAATCACAACTCAAAAGTGCAAAAAATCTCCACTTCCAGTTGACGAACCGGAAGTTTTTGAGCGACGGACACGTCAACCGGATGTGGACTTATTCCAAACGTGGGGCGTGATGTTGACCAAATTTTCGGGCAAATCATCTTTATGAGAGAAAAGACACTTAAGAATACAAATTTGGTCAAATTTCAAGGCATATTAAAAGGGAAAATGCTTCACTTCCGGTTGACGTGCACCGCTCAAAAACGTTTTTGTTTAAACTCCCTATTGCTAAGTCTATACCGCTCCAACTCTTTATGAGTTTATGGTCAGTACCGTAAAATTCCGAAAATGAGCCCCTCCATGTATAAATATGAGCCGCCGAAACTCGTAACGCAAAAAGCCCTCCGTTAAATCACCCCTCCAAATATAAGCCCCCCCCGGGAGTTTGTACTTGGAAATTGCCCTCAAATACAAAGTAAAACAGAGCAAAAACGGTAAATTTACCTCCAACTATAAGGCAAGCCCAATCGATTTTGAAACGCAAATTTCCCTCCGTAGATAAGCCCCTCCAAAAATAAGCGCCTCAAAAAAGGGCCTTTGAAAAATATAAGCCCCGGCGCTTATTTTCGGAATTTTACGGTATTTTATTTTGCAGATATTAATTTTTATTCTTGTTGTTCTACGAAATGTATTCCTTAGCGCTAATTTCTTCAATTGATATATTTATTTGTTTACCTCTATGGTAACGATTCATAAGGGGGAGAATTTAGGTAAATTAAAAATTTTCGAATTTAGTGGGTTCTAAAATGACGTGTTCAGAATTGCATATAAGCATTACAGAAACGCAAATAATATGTGCTGCAATTATCAAACTTGAACTAAGGACGTTAACTGTAGGGAATTACAAAGAAATAAAAGAGCAAACTCTCTCAGTTTAGATTAGTACCAAGTACAGTAAAGCTGGTACTGTATTAAGGCAGGAACGCAACGCTTTTTTCATGGCTACGTTATGTTGAAGGCGTTGCGTGACAGGCCAATGAGCCAATGGGTGGGAAAATGTTTGTTACAGTTTTCAAACGTGTTTTATATATTAAGTTCAAGAGTAAGGTTTTTTCCTTGTTTGTTTGGTTGGTGACGCAAAATTTGCTGTTAAATCAATGTTGCGTTGTTTAATCGGAATTAATGTAAGACATTTTGCCAACAGAGGTCTCCCAGAAATTCTAATGAATGAAAACGAGTTTCTTTCCTACTTCAACAAGCAATTATTTAAGAATAATATTTTATCGTTATTTAGTTCAAAGTGTACTTGTAAATGGCCACTGTTTTGGCCTTATTTAAGCAAATTAAAATTGACACTCAATTTGAATATAATTCTGTGTGTAAACGCAACTTTTTCAGGTCTTTGTCAGACTTTTAAAAACGAGTTTGAAAAAACCCTAGGCGTTCTCGGCTCGGCCAATCCTGGGCCCAGTTGTTCAAAAGGTGGATAACGCTATCCACTGGATAAGTCTCTGTCCAGTGGCTGACTCGTCCCCAATCGTCTCTAAGTTGTCTCTACTCATTAATTATTTACTGGGGAAGCGCTTCGCTAAAGAGCCCGTTCTAGTCTTCCACGCCAAATACTAATAATGAGAGACGCCTGGGGACGAGTCAGGTCCAGTGGATAGGGCAATAGGCCATTTTACAGTTGTGTGCTCAGTGCCCTGGCCTTTGAATAGACGCGAGGCTGGCGGTGACCTTGTTTTGCTACAAACCTTCCTTGTTTTTCATATGTAAATGAGAATGAGAATACCACGATTTGCACTTGAAAAGCAGGCAGGTTTGTAACAAAACAAGGTCACCGCCAGCCTCGCGTTTATTTTAAGGCCAGGGCACTAAGCACACAACTGTAAAAGGCCTATTGGTTTCCCTAATATTTATCCGTTGGATAGTAATTTATCCGGTGTGTAGCACTATCTAGCGTCTGAACAACCTGAGCCTGGGCTCCACCGTGAGTTGCGTCACCGAGAGAAAGCCGCCCTTTCCCAGACTTCGCGCAGACAACAAGGCAAGAAAGTGCGTTTGGGGACATGGCTGTTAAAATCCAAAGATTCTAATGCTGAAATACTAATAGACTGATAAATTTGTCACTGTTAACGTATCTATATACAAACTGTTATTACGTTTTTCCAGTGGCATATAATTTTTGATCGAAACAAAATATTCTAAAAAAATATCATAGTGTGGTCAAAATGTTCAAGATTAAACTAATTGCAACATAATCTTTTTCAAAGGCATTTAATTGTGACAAGACCAAATTATTGAGCATGGGCTTCTTGTACAGTAGCCAACCTTGCTGAATGTTGATCCTTTTTTATGCAAAGAAACACTTCCTTTTGTTATTATCGAAAGCTAATTAGCAGTTGTTCTTCATTCGTTAAGTTTTCCTTAAAATTAACACATCATTTTTCACTTGAACGTGCAATTTCAACTAACNCGCCAAATACTAATAATGAGAGACGCCTGGGGACGAGTCAGGTCCAGTGGATAGGGCAATAGGCCATTTTTACGGTTGTGTGCTCAGTGCCCTGGCCTTTGAATAAACGCGAGGCTGACGGTGACCTTGTTTTGTTACAAACCTTCTTGTTTTTCAAATGTAAATGAGAATGAGAATACCACGATTTGCACTTGAAAAGCAGGCAGGTTTGTAACAAAACAAGGTCACCGCCAGCCTCGGGTCTGTTCAAAGGGCAAGGCACTGAGCACACAACTGTAAAATGGCCTAATGGTTTCCCTAATATTTATCCGTTGGAGAGTAATTTATTCGGTGTGTAGCACTATCTAGCGTTTGAACAACCTGAGCCTGGGCTCCACCGTGAGTTGCGTCACCGAGAGAAAGCAGCCCTTTCCCAGACTTCGCGCAGACAACAAGGCAAGAAAGTACGTTTGGGGACATGGCTGTTAAAATCCAAAGATTCTAATGCTGAAATGCTAATAGACTGAAAAATTTGTCACTGTTAACGTATCTATATAGAAACTGTTATTACGTTTTTCCAGTGGCATATAATTTTTGATCGAAACAAAATATTCTAAAAAAATATCATAGTCTGGTCAAAATGTTCAAGATTAAACTAATTGCAACATAATCTTTTTCGAAGGCATTTAATTGTGACAAGACCAAATTATTGAGCATGGGCTTCTTGTACAGTAGCCAACCTTGCTGAATGTTGATCCTTTTTTATGCAAAGAAACACTTCCTTTTGTTATTATCGAAAGCTAATTAGCAGGTGTTCTTCATTCGTTAAGTTTTCCTTAAAATTAACACATCATTTTTCGCTTGAACGTGCAATTTCAACTAACGTAGGTGTCCTTGGTTAAAAGCTCACTGACAATTTTGGAATACTTTTGAACTTAGATTTTCGAGAAATTATTGTGGATGACTATTAGAATTAAAAGGGTTGAACATCCAACGCAAAAAGAATTTTCATTGCTGAAGTATCCGTAACAGATCGAGTAAACAAGGCTCAAGATACGGTAACCACCTGAATAAAAAAGCTAACAAATATGTTACTTTCTTCGTTTTCATTGTCGTTTTGCTTTCTTTCTTTCCAATGGAAACTTGGCTAAATTAGTTGACTGGCTATTTGTAAAATTAATCGAGAAACGCGGGGCGTTTTCCTGAAAGATGGCTATTATCAGTAAGTCGTTTTGCAAAGGCGTGTTATTATTAAACTCTGTCAATACTAGATCAAGTTATGGCACGAGGGAGTTTGTCATGCTATCAGTGCTATGGACGCGAGGCGCATGAGACAAACGTGAAGCACGAGATAAAGGAAAACAAAAACGGATCCTTTTCTTCTCCTTGCACTTACGTTTGGTTTGTTTCTGTTTGACGCTTTCATAGACCAGGGGTACCCAACGATGGTTTCCTCCTTAATACATTGAAAACTCTTTTTAGGCTATCCAGAGTACTCGTGTTAGATATTCTAGGCGGCGCTATAAGATTTGCATCTGTTCGGTCATCCGATAGAGACCTCTATAGAGGAATTTGAGTCTTTTCGAAATTACTAGGGCTTTAGTCGTGCAGTATTATTTTCCCGAACATTTTAGTTGCAGTTGAACGTAATACGAAAGTGAGGATTGTTCTTATTTCGATCATATTTCTCTCTCCATCTACGAAAATTAGCCTAACATAGGGAGTAAAATGTGAGGAATTAAATTTCAGAAAATCGTTGGGAATTTTATCAGATAAGCTTCGAAAATTATACCCCAATGGAAAGATCATCTTGACAATTTTAGCCGTTCCTCCCTCAAGCAATAGAAAATTATAGGCAATACCTCCGAACAGGTAATTCACAAAAAAACAGTCGCTGATCGTGAGAACCCCTGCTAGATAAATAGCGCCTCCGATCTTATACAGACTTGTGCAACCTGGCTGGGCAAAGGCCATGATTCAGTCCGAGTTTCCCTGGGCCTCTGTATCAAAACGAGGTTAAGTGCTCAGCCTTATATGGAATTTATTTTTTCACTTTCATGCAAATAGACTCATTTTCACAAGAAAGGTTGGCCTCATTTTGAAAGTGAGGGTTTTGGGAACTCGGAAAGTGGCCTATCAGGTTTTGATGATTCTTAAGCTTCTAAGCTAGGAGAGCGAATCACAAGATGCTTTATAGCAAGTGCTACTACTCAATCGAACAATACTGGAGGATTTTCAAGGAGCGCTTTACTTCATTTTTTCTTTCCATTTTCTTCTCCGTGACTTTCACGACAAAAGACGAGCCAAGTCTAACTCAGCGTACACATTGAAAGTTGTTCCGTCTCCTGATAGATTTAAAGATAAGATTACTGATGAAAATTGAACCTAAAAGCTAATATTTGGACAGCTTTTTAAACATGGCTAAAATGAAATAATTAAAACATATCATGCGTTGCAATGAAGTGAAATATATTAGACTATTCCATGTTGAAGATTTAAACAAAAAAATAAAGTGATAATCGTGCTCTTACAGAAAACGTACTGGGATTAACTGAAATTCCCCGTTTTGTTCATGAAACGTGTTTATTTAAAGGTATGATAGCAGCTGCAAAACATGTTTTCTAAATCGAGTTTCTTAATTGCTCCTTTCGTCCTTTGTTTCTAGCCCGATCCCCAAGAGAGATCAAAAAAGGGTTTTTGAAAACATCGCACGCGAGATAACAAAAACGTGCCCCAAGCGCTTAACACTCAAAAATTCTTTCTTTTGGTTGGACAAAATTGCACTAATTCACCTGTTGGTTTATTATCATCAATTAGCATATTTATTATACACGAGGAGACACGCACCACGTAAGATCACAATACATGTCATTATTAAAGTCCCATGTAAATTTAATGTCATCAGCCATATCGCTATAACAACCTTGCGTCTCTCAGAAACAATCTTGTTTGATTTTTACGTGGCCTTAGACGCGTAGTGTTTTGGTTGTCGCACGCTGATGTTTGCTACTTTAAAAAGTACTTGACAGTCGCTTTTCCTGAAAATGAATGGCGAAGTTTCGCCTGCTTCGAGTTTTTCCTCACTCGGCGGAGGACCCTCAATGATTGGAATGATACGAGCCAGAAAACTCGCTGTTAAATTTAAAAAGAGAGCGCAGTTTTTGGTAGCCGATAAAATTCGCAGAGACAACACTGGAAAGACGGCAGTGACACACTGGGATTTTCCACGAAATTTTCGCCATGACGATCAACCCTCTCGACTGCAAGTTCCCGGCGGAAAATCCCCTCCGATTTCACGTTCTCCCAGCATCTCCTCTCGTTACGGTTATACTACTTCAAGTCAAGCACCTCGAAATACGTACCGTATGGAACCGATAAAACGCTTTTCAGAGCCAAAAGTCAAGGAAATAATCGAAGAGGTTTTAGTACAAAACCTAAACGGTCGTACATACGAAGCGGTCTTCTGCAAAGAGATGAGTAAAAAACTCTCCGAAGTCATCAAACAGCGCGTCAAGTTCTTGGGATTTTCCCGCTACAAATTTATCTGTATTGTCTACATTGGACAAGTTAATAATCAAGGAATGCGAATTGGAAGTCGATGTCTTTGGGATCAGAAGTTTGACAATGTCGCCGAAGGGTATTTCAGAAATGGCGATTTGTTTGCAGTCGGAACTGTTTTTGGTTTGTATTGCGAATAATTTATTGTTCAAGCCTTTGGAAGAAATACGCCGTTATCCGTTGTTTTTAAATTGGTTACTCTTTCCATTTATATACACTCGCGATGCAGTACTAATTTTGTAGACTATTTTGAAATAAGGACAAAGGAAATTAAGTAGCAGAAGTTTCTTTCAGAAACATCACAAGATTTTCTTCATTTTCTGAAATGGAAATAGTTTTGAGCACAAGCATCTAACATCGGCAATTCGGCAATTCGGCAACGAATTATAACAGACGCCATACTTATAAAGTCATTAATTTAGGCAACGCGAGTTCTATATGAACTGTTTAAATTTCTACCAAGTAGAGTGTTAAAGTCATATTTGACATTTTAGAAGTAAGTTTCTCGCTAAAAATGAACTCAAGGAAAAAGTGTTTTAAAATCCCCAAACTGAAAGAGCAATTTAATTTTCAAAGCACTGCGAATATGAATTTTCAATCACTAAGTTAATCATGAAAAATGTAACATTGTTACGAATTTAATTACGGAAATTCCTTGCCATCGAACAAGTACAACTTAATATAGTACAACTTATCAACACCTTGCACGCCGTTCAGCTTTAAATGAACTCTAAAAAAGGCGTTTATTTGAGATCATTTGAAAGCTGTAAATTCTGGACAGAATACTGGAAAATAAGCTTATTAACAATGGAGACTTGAAGCACTTAAACAGGTAGAAGATTTAAATGATAAAAACATGTTTGCGTTTATATTTGATAACCATGGGAACGCAACATCTGCGAGATCCTCGATAAATATTATCTCTTCAAAACTGTGTGGGTCACGAAAAATATATATATTACTGGACATATCGCTCAGCAGATAAAAACACAGTTGTAAATATGTGAATATGTTATCAACATCCCCATCCGAGCTTTTCAGGGATAGTTTATAACACTGGTTTGACCTGGGGTAGTTATGTTATGTCCACACGACGAATCCAGGCATTTTTGGAAACACATTTTTTTATCTGGATGCCTGTGGACGGAAGGCCTGCCGATCCGTGTAAAGTAAAAATATATACGATTTCAAAAATATCACGATTCGAGTGTTCCAAACATTAAACTTTTACGGCTGGTCAAACTGCTCGCGGCGCAGTTTAAGTAATCAAGTAGTTTAAGGCCTGGGACTAAGGCGTTTACTTGTGGAAAATGAATTATTGGCTATAACTTTGGCATAGATGATGGCGCAGATCCAAAATTTGGCACACATAAAGAACTCATCGTATAAACATTGTGTTAATAAGTCACGTGATATGTCAAGTGACCATTTTGCTAAAAATCGTAAATTATTGACCAATTGGTGGCCGGTTGAAGAAAAGAAATTGGGAATAAAACATTTTTCTAATTGATATTATTAATAAATATTTCTAGCACTTCACGTTTGGAACGACCGTCCATTGCACTTCAATAAAAAATTACGAGGGAAAACATTATTTTAAATGCCCAAATTTAATCTTGAATTATTTAAAAGTTTAATTTTAAACTTCGCGTACATTCATTCCAAACGTAAAAAGTTAGGTATGTTTATCCTCTTTCAGAAATACCGATTTGTTTATCGAAACGAAGTAAATTCGCCACCAATTCCCCAATTTCCTTCATTTTCAATTTTTGGTCACGTGACAATAATTAAACGTTAAGGCACAAGAAAACCTCAAGATTTACTTTCGGGGAAAAGTTCATTTTGTTCTAGGTCTCCTAGCGAGAGATATTACCAATTATTCATATGCTCAGAACACAAGTTAAGCCCCTTGAGTAACATTAGTTGTTCGCTTCATGCAAAACACGAGGCCCATTTGCCTGTAGCATTTACAAACGGAGGCCTTGATCTAGTTAGCGTACGCCTATAACCACTTCAGGTCCCAACGAAGAGAAGTCAATCGGCTCTAGGTCTTAAAGATATCAGTTCGACAAGAATATTCAACATACAGAGCCGATTTTACTTGAGGTGTGGGGAATCCTTCTAGAAAAATGTGTCCGCGTCTTCTCGTAAAGATCTTTTGAAGGAACTTTTGTCAACGAACGCAATGGCGGATCCAGGGGAGGGGTCCGGGGGGCCCGGCCCCCCTATTTTTTACCAAACTGGCCGAAGAAAATTTTTTGCAGACCCCCCCCCCCCCCCCCC